TTTGTGCTTTTTGCATGCTCATAATTGCGTTCAACAGCTTTTATGTGCAATAAATTACTGAAAACAGAAATTTATGGAATTGTGATATTCATGGTAATATTGCATATATTTTCATGACAAGGAAAACACGTATGGCTTTATCTGCTTAAATATTGAGTACTGTTTTGTGTTCGTTATCAGTTTTTGATGAAATGGATCCTGAAAGGGGAATAAACATTAAAAATATTTAGAAAACGCACGCAAATTATCTCCTCATGGTAGTGATTATAAATTAATACTCGTGTAAAATAACTATTACTGATAGGATTCAATAATACATGGTAACTAAGGTAGGTTAGAATTACAGACGGATTGGTATTTATGTCCCTTCTTCACTTATGTTGGATTTCCTTATGACATCTATGGAGTTCTGTCTAATATCGCAGCTTTAACCCATTCTCTTATGACCAGGCCAATCGCAAAGGGGTTCGGCCACAGGTTTCAAACAAGTTAACCGAAGCTGAATTACATTGGATTCACTTATTATGTTTTGTGCCCAGTCAGAGACGCTTCGTACATTTTATTACACTGTTCACAAAGAGACGTTTCCGTTTTCTGAAAGATACCTGCTAAACGCACTGGAAGTACATGTAAGATAATTAAGGTACGTAGAATTTAATCGTTGGTGTGTCATACACATCTGTAAATGTGATATAGTCAAGTCATGCATTACTACCACAGAACAAGTTTTCTCGGAAAGCTGTCCATTTTCGAGGAACAATCTTTAGCTCAGTAGGTATGTAAAATATAAAGTTGCATTTTTTATTCGCTATCTGTATTAAGTGACATAATTGTTTGATATATTTATGTTGCAGTATTTATTTTAATTTTTTTCAGATAGCCTAACATGTCATATAACGTTATGCTGTTTGTATCAAGTTAGCCATTTTATAACGGAACAGATGAATGCATTTACAAGTTGCATGCATCATAGCATAAGAAAATATTTGAATTCTTATAATTTTGTGCAATTATTCTTGTCGGATACAGATTCGTGTACGAATCTGGTTATCGTAAAGTAGTTCTGATGAAATGATTTAATATGCAACAAGAAACTTCATATACGAACATGTTTAAAGTATATCATTGCATTTGTACTTGACAATGTTTCATGTACTATGCGGCTCTACAGATATGTATATATCTTAGATTGGGAGTCGTAAGACAGGGGTTTTTCGTGTAACTTGTGGGCTGTTGTCGGTGATAACATTGGCTCGGTGGACGATAGTGGTTTTTTCGTGATGAAAGACTAAAAGTTCAGAACTAATGAGTCTGCAGTACATAATGAGCTCTTAAAGGATCAATCGACAGACTGGTGGCGTGGTGGCTCCTTAACTATTTGACGAGATCGATAGAACCGAAAATACTTCTTGATAGTCAGCTGAAGCCACACGAACTATGAGTAGCATTAGATAATTATTTAGTATTCCTATATGAGCAATAATCATATATATATATATATATATATATATATATATATATATATATATATATATATATATATATATATATATATATATATATATATATATATCCTTTGCTCCATTTACTAAGTGTTTTCATCTGATAAATCAGCTTTCTTTTCTTGAGTTAATACCCAGTATTGAGGTGTGTTTTTCTACTTTTGTTATTCGTTTATGCAGCTCGGCTAAATTTAAGTTTAATTTTTTCGGGGATGGGTGGGTGGGTATGCAGAACTAAGCTTATATTTGACAGCATAACTTGGTTTAACAACAAATGTTTTTAGTGAGTTTTAGCTTAGTGCTTTACCGTATACGTTTGATTCGGCCAGCATTTCTTTGGCACAGCGCTATTTATTATTGGGATTTGTATTAGAACAATCATTATGCTTCGTAAATATTGAATCCAGTGAATTGTCAGGTAATGAAATTCCAGGACCACTGTCGTTATAAAAAGGTAGCATCAATCCACCAGTTGTAACAGTTATAAACTTGATTCGTGAATATCGTTATTTACTATCTGTTTTAATAGCAGAATTCGTTCTAGTACATATGGTTACATGGTACACAATTACCTTTCATAATGTATATTCCAGTTCTTCTTTGTGCAAACTTAAATTATTTGTGTTTCTTTTCTATGTTTCATACTATTTGTGTTATATTTATGTAATCATTCTGCATAGTTTTTGTATATTGTTTATTTTATTATCAAAAATGGATCTTTACACTTAAGTGATCTATTAATTGTTTGCTCAACATTAAAACCGTAGATGATGTATCAACACTATACTATCCGGATATACATGTTGCAGAATCAATGTTATATATGAGTACCATTGTGAATATTTGGCTTATTTTTTGCATCAACACATTGTCAATACTATCACTTTGAGGCAGCCAAAATCAATGCAACATCCAATATTATCATTTTATGACCATAATAAAGAGCAATCAAATGTCTACCGTTTTCTTTAAAATCGTATCAAATATTAACAGATATGCTTTCTTTTGGTTTTCGATTTTTTGCTACTATTTCCCTAAAATGATCTCTAAAATTGTTTTTCTTAAATTTTCTATCAATTTATTTTAAGAAGCTCATCTTTTTATAAACCGAGTTATTGCTACCGTTAGAGTATCCATAATGCTATTCACTGTTTAAGTTGATCACCAGCCTGTATGTAATATCAAAGTTAATAGATTTATAGTAATACCAGCAAGCTATGGACCGATAACCCTATATTTTAGAAATTTTTAAAGACCTTGATTTTTCATTTTGATTTGAACATTTTTATTTGCATTTTGGCTGATAGCAGTTTATCACATGTAATAAAGTCCAAATGCAACTTACCGAAGTGGTTTTGTTTGTTTTTCACTCACGTAATCGTTCATGTTTATGTTGTGATCAATTCAATGCTAATTCAATGTATAATATCTTAAATTTAATAGTTTAATTTGCAATTTCTACCTCGATTGTTTCCGTATACCAGAACTAGCTTTTGGTTTCTTGTGTGGCCCTAGTGGATAGTACAGCTAGCAGCAGCTACACATGATGTTAAAAAAGAAATTTCTGTATTGTGGGCAGTATTTATGGCATAAGAGTTTTTATACAGGGTAACATATCAGATAAAACATTGCTTTGTTAGCTTGCTTAATTGAGTTTTTGTTTTTGTTAATATGTAGTATAAAGGAATTTATAAAATTGTCGTTTGCTCATAATTATTTTATCTGTGCAACGATATACTTTAAGTCTTAATGCTATTTCTGTTGGTTGATTCTTAGTAAATGCTCCAACAATAACATCATTTTTTATTATGTTGCGTTCCAAACTGTTACTTCAATCATGGTCATCCATTGTAATGTTTTAATAAGATATTCTTCTTTCTATTGACATAGTACTCATACGTATATATTGATCACCCTGTAAAAGAAAGTACTAAATATGGGGCATCTGCACCTGCAAACTGAAATTGTATTGTAATAGCCATTTTTTTCTAGTATCTTATGTATGATTAATTATTTACTTATTGTGTTTTAATGCATTAGAACAGTGCTGTCCAACATGCAGCCTGCGGGCTGATATTAAATGGCCCACCCTAGCTTAAATTTTTTTTTGTATGCATTTGTGTGAAAAACGTCAATGGCCTACTTTCATTTCATGCTGTGACCATCGGCTTCAAGAAATATTTTTCACTGGCCCAAGGTGTCAAAAAGGATGGACAGCACTGTTAGAATGATATGTTTGATGCAATGTTACGATTTAGCTATATTAATTTTGCTTCTTCTCTTACATTTTTTATTCATTGCGACGAGTAACATCATATTCACACAGCTCGCCTTTAAATTCTCAGGATTGCAACACATTTTAAGGCTGTTTGAAGATGTTATGTCGAATTTATTGTCACGAATAATTAATATTAAAGTTAGCCTTAAATTAATGTTAGGAAATTTGATTTTGTGTTGTGTTCGATCATTAATTCGAGCAGCTTCTAGAAGAACAACATATATGTCTCAGAAGTTGTTTAGTCGCATTTGTTGTACCTCTCAGGGTTGATGCGAGATCGTTTGATTTATATTCTTGTCTGTACACACGCATTCGCTAAAAGTATAATCGTATATATCCAGATGCCAGTCTTGAATCTATATCAGCTGGTAATATTATATAGAGTTAGAAGTTTGGCATCCACTATAAGATATGTTGAATTCTTGTTTCACCATTGTTGTACCAACGATATAATATTTGTGTGTGTGTGTGTGTGTGTGTGTGTGTGTGTGTTTAATCCCTTTTTTATTGTGTATATGTTTCTTATTTAACCCAAAAAGCGTGGATAATTTTTAAATCATACGTATTTGTTTATTGTCACCTGTTATTAGAGATTGCCTGTATGCAAAATCAGCAATGTCATTATCATTTCGTATATCATTCAAGCTACCCTAAATGATGCTTCCCTAACTTATGCATCGTCGGCAACTGTTATGCTTGAAGCAAAATCCAGTATTTCAAAAGATGTTCTTAGTTTTTTTTAAAACAAATCTGCATTTATAGTGTATTTAACTTTGTTTCAGTTAGTATTACCTCCTGGATATTACTTCCCTTAATCGCTTTTATTGTGATCACGTAAATTATGTGCCGCTTGTGGTTCTAGTACATTGCGTAGCATTACACGGAAAAACATTTATTGTTTATCTCATATTCAGTACCATACTTATGAGCGTATCGTTGCTCTTATGAAAACTTTATTAATATCAGACAATATTTGTGTGCTATCTTCGAGAGTAAAATTGTGCCTTACGTCCGAATTTAAAAATAGTTTTGTTTTAAATACCAATTGCTAGCAACAAAATGATACAAGATTATAATTGTAAAGATTATGTTATGCTAAGTCAATCTTTATGCAGACTTTGCATGGTTTTAACAATGTCGTTATCAATAGATTGCTTTTACTTCCCATATTTTTGTTATCACATAATATTTGCAGTTTCTTTACTAATGGATCTTTAACCGATCCGGTGGCCTAGTAGTTAGAGTGTCTGCCTCGGATGCGAGAGGTCGTGGGTTCTATCCCCGGTCGAATCATGCCAAAGATTTACAAAAATGGTACTAACAGCTGCCTCGCTTGACGTTCAGCATTAAGAGGTAAGTGTTGGGACTGGTCTGACTGGTGTATCTATAATGTGACTGGGTGGGACATCTTGCTAGATGTCTGCGGCATGATGCCTCAGTGCTAGACATCACTATAAACTGCTACACTGCAGACATCGCAGCGATATGACTTAAAAATTGTTAAAGCTACGTTAAAAATCATAATCACATCACCTCACATCACTATTGTGTCTGGGCCTTGATTGCATCATATTGCCTATATATTGGGTACCTTTTAAACTTTTTATTTATTGCTAACCCAGCTATGTTCTATAATTGTTTAAATGCTTAATGCTTTAATTATTTATTGTAATTCTTTTTACAATGAAGTTTATTCAATATCAGATCAACAGAGTCATACTGAACCTTCATGAAAGTTTAATTCAGATAGTTGATTAATATTGATATACAGCTTATCAAAGTATGAAACACCATGCAGTTTTTAAGATTTCGTTGGTATGTTTTGTCTGGAATTTCATTTTGATTGATATGTAGCTTGATTTTTAGTTAAGGTTCCTGTTAGTTTTCATATATATATATATATATATATATATATATATATATATATATATATATATATATATATATATATATATATATATATACAGAGAGAGAGAGAGAGAGAGAGAGAGAGAAACATCTGTATAGGTAAGGAGGTCTTATACTGTCATTATTCGTGTTTGAATTTTTTTCTAAGAGTTGTGACATTTTCAGTGCTTGTAACAGGCGTGAGAATGAGTCTGACCCTAGAGGTAGAAGAGGTTTTTGTTTAGTTCTTTTTAAACTTCTTTTTTTGCAGCATATTTTTGCAATTCGATTAACAATTGTTTTGATTGCATCAGCTAATGATTCTGCATGTTGCGTTTGAAACTCGTTTGCCTGCCGTCTTGTAAAATTCTATAATTTTAAATCCAATTTAAAAACATTTTACAACTATCTCTTTACAATTTTTGCATACTATTAACCTTTCAAAATTCACTATCTTTATTAATATATTGTATGCTATTTATTGCAACATTGTTATTATGTAAATAAATTATTATACTGTCACCCTCAAGTATAAAGCTTATACATCCACAGCAGTATATTTCATGGCCGTTTATGATTCTTTTAGTAAAAACGGAATTTTACTAAAATGACCATGCACGGAACTAATAAAGATTTTGTGCTGCATTTCTGTATATGCTGATAATACAATGTTTATTAGCATTACAAATGCAGTGAATAACGGCAATTTGACATATTTATTTATTATCCAATCCATTAAAATGTATTTTAGCAGATGAACTTTGGCATACCATAACATGAGTGAGTAAAATATATACATGTATGCTACTAATCGAGCTAACGAATTAGGTCTGTTTATAAGTTGTGTTGTAAGTTTTTATATCATCAATTACGATTATTTAATTTTTATAATTATTTAATTTTTCTATAGAATTACCGTCTTCTGGTGCGAATATAGTGAGAATTTTGGGATTGTTACTTCTATTGCATCAAATAGTTTTGACAACATTGTATATTTTACTTGGGTGTTATTAATAACACAAAGTAAATTAATCTTCATTATGATAGTTAGGTACTTTGTTTATCAATGAATATGTTTTTACTTGACCTCTGCTTCGAACAATAACAAGTGGTGTTTGGTATTTGCAAATTGTTCAGCATCAAAATTAATTATGTCTATTTATAATAGTTATAGCAAATTGATTCTTGTTTTCATTATAGCCATTGAACTTGTAAAAATTTTAATACTTTTCTCTATTTCCTCCAAGTGTATTGTATTTTCTGTTTTTCATCCCTAATCAAATTGAACTTTACTCGCATCAGTTATTCTTTGAAAAATAGTTCATTGAATTTAAAGTTTGATTTTTTTCTGATAGCTTTTAATACAATATTTAATACACTATTTATCGATGTTTCTGTCACAGACAAATACACCTAATGTTACCCAAAAAGATTGGAATTGCAGGTATCACATCTATCAAAGTTTTGCTACCCAACAATAAAGTTAACAGCATAGTTGATGTACATGTTTTTCTATCATTTAAACTTTTCCTATACACAAAACAGAATAGCTTTAAATGATCACTTTTTTATGAAACATTTCATGCTGTAGTGATTACCATTTACACTATTATGTTATATTTAAACAGAATACTAAAATAAAGCATCAAACTCAATTTTACCATTAATTATTGTTTTACTTGTTACTTTTTTTTTCTCAAAAACAATATGTCCATATATTATTTATAAAGAGGATCCTAATAACACCTTACGTTATTATTACAGTATTGCAAGTAGCAAATTCGATTCCATCTTTATAAGAAACTGTATTGTGTATGTGCGGAATAATGTTTTCATGTTAGAATAAAAGCCGGATAGAATTTTTTAATTAAAGGTAGTGTTTGCATTTATATTTCAATATCGCCGCTTTTTTGTACAACCCATCCAATAATTTCTTTTTCTACGACATATATGAATTGCACGAACTTGTGTTTTAATAAATGTTGTGAATAAAATAGCGAAGGTGATCTCTTTGTGTTTTATTTTTATATCAGTATGGCTTTGCTAGTATGTATTAACCTCAAGGTTACGAGAGAGTAGATCAGAAATGTGCGCACATGCATTTCTTTGCTCGTGTGTGAATGAAGAGCTGGAATGTCAAATAAGTTTTTGTCCACTCTTTTGAACGTCATTCAAAGGCAATATCATCACAACGTCCATTATTGAAAGCTTCATTTACTTCCATGAATCTGAGGTTTCAGCACTTATATAGGAAGGAAGTCCTACAGAAAAGTACTCGTCGGTTGGCACAGTCTCCGTTTGGAAAAAGCGTAAACATTTTAGTTTCCAGCGTAGGTCCCAGAGTATGCAAAACCACCGTCCACTCAAATGGAAACGATAATTGTTACAACTGCATAACTTATTAATATTTTGAACATTGCGAATCCTATCTGTAATTTTGTTTCGCAGCTCCAATATTATAGCAACCAATATACATTCGTTTGTTCTTATCGACACAAATCTACAAATTACCAGTCATTATGTCACTTTTATTTAGGAAACAAATGATGCGCCGTCAGACATTGGTCTTGGCAGTTTGTTAAGAGTGATCCATAGAACAAAAACATAGACCCTACACTACGGGCTAATTGTGATACCACAGAACGGGATATTTGATGGGTTTTTTAAAATACAATCTATTAGACTTATAAACAAGTATGACAGTTAATTTCCTTATTTATTAGCAATTTACAATAGGTCATCAATGATATTTGTTTGGATAATTTCATATTATTATCCATGTACTGTCTTGTTAATGCATCATTTTTTAAGAACAGGCTATCCTAATTTTGTTTGTGTTTATATATTATGAAATTCAAGTACAACCAGGCTAAAGTCACGCCAGTGGTAAAGATATTCTCCTAGTACATTTTAAAGATGTATAATTTCATTTGCTGTGTGTTTAGAAACAATCAGTTCTAAATCACTAGTGTTAGAGTTCCAAAAGTTGTGTTACACATTTATAGTATGAAATTGTATGATATACATAGAAGAAATATAAAGTATAAACAAAGTAATTATGATGAAATAAAAATGTTGTATAATGCAATTTAAAAGATCTATCATGAATCAGAATAAAGAGCAAAATTGTAATTTTTCGCAGCCCAGGTATCAGAAAATGTTTACACGTGGATATATTATTACCATGTTTGATGAGTAGACATCGCTGCAAGCCGTGTTAATCGATTATGCAGTCGCCAGCCACATGTTATAGAATAGCAGCCAGTCAAAGGGCTTGTCGTCTTTTCACACAGGCATTAAAACATTGGTCCCGGTATCAAAAGGAAGCTCGCTGGGTGAAAGACAAGCGTAGGCAGACAAGCGGGAAGACATTGTCAAACTAAGTTTGATTGGGAAATTTCACAACGACATCCAATCGGAATTAAGATAGAGTGGGATTAAATCATAGATCCGAATTTCAGAAATTTATCAGTATACTTGGGCAGATTATGAGAAGTACACCTAGCTGTTATAAGAATTAAGTATTTTCCCTGAGAAGCCACTCGTAATTTGGCAGGAATCTTAGGACCACAATTTTGAGAGAAGGAAAAACTTCAACAAGGTCAGTAAGCTATTGGCTCAATTTTTACAAAACATTACGGCGTCATAATTGTAAATATTTGTAACATGTATACTTAAGTACTGTGATCTTTTTAGTAAGTAGAATTGCCTTGTAGTGTTTCATTTATAAGCATATTTGAGACATGAATGTGAGTTTACGTAGAGAATTATGTAGATTGTTAGTTCGTCAGAATTAATATTGTAATTCGCTGGTAGAGTTCTTTGTAGTAACCAGTACATTTAGTAATGCGTTATGTTAGAGTTTATGCATGTTTGAATTGGCGTTTAGGAAAACGATTGATGTACGCACGATTAGTTACAATAGATGTTTGAATATATCAGAGCATGGATATTTGAATATTTGTATAATTGGTATGAGTTGTGATGTACAAATATGCGTCTGATTGTTACTTATTGGTTTCTGTAATGGAACTATGAGTGTGTACTGATGTGAAACAATTTATTGTTGTATGTATAAGAGTAATTTATACCGTGCTCGTTTTTATGTTGTGTTATGTTTTACTATACAAGAATGTATGCGTATTTCAGTGACATTGAATGCGTAACCTCTGATGTTTAATAACTTTATCTGGTGATAGGCAGTGTGTAGTGTGAGATGTGAGCGCTGAGGAAAATATTGTAGCGTCCTTGTCTTTCACAGAAAGCTTTTCGGGGGACAGAACTTCTGGTGTGAGTTAGTAGTCCCCGAGTCTCTAAGAGAGAGACGGAAATGAGACTGATAGTGCAGTTGGAGTTGACAGAATGTAGTCGACGTAGAGAAGAGGGATAGAAGGTGGAGAAGGAAA